ATCTTCATCAGGATGTGTGCAAAGATGGAAGCTTTCATTGCCTCACTGGGCACAGTCTACTTCAGGCTTCCATAAACACTTTATATCCTAGCATTTCACTTGCTACTGTCAGCAGTTCATAGGTAAGGTTGCCTTTCACTCTTTACTAGATAAGATCACTCCCCTACATTTGGGCTAAGATCAAATTTAGTATTTTCTAGATATTCTATATGTGATGGCCTATCGTAAAAAAACGAAAAGTAAAAGCTACTATACTTAGTCTTCACAGAGTAAGTACTTTATGTTAACAGTGTCGTTAAAATTCTTAAGAATGAATGATGACTGACAACTCTTATCTATCTCTGGGGAGGAAGAATGTCTATAGCTAATATGGAATCTGTTATTGTGCTTTTTTAAAGGGAACATCCTTCTAAGTCAGAGATCCCTATGTGTCCATATCCAGATTTCCACAGCAAGGTGCATGAACAGATGGCAAGGATCATTGACCATTACGTAAGATTGACTTCCTTAAACTGCTAGTAAAAGTTTGATTCATTAAATGTCCCTTGGATTAGAAAATGTAATCTCAAGACTGAAACATTTACTGTGTCATTTAAAATTCTAGCAATGATTGACAGTTGCCAAACTTAATTATATATTACTGTACTACCTATATGCCACAATGCCTTTAATTGGGGTATGGAAAATTTGTACTTTTGTCATTTAGGAAATACTAGCCTGACTCTTTTTCCACAGCTAGTACCAATTTTTTGTTTCAAGAATCTGATATTTGAGCATAGAATACTGACCTTTTCTGCAGTGTTGGTCTAGTACTAGTTTAAAAACATTTTGATGCACATATTAGTGACTATTCTTTACCTTTAACATATCAGAAATAATTTATTCTTAGCATGAATTAAACCAGCAGTGACAACACACTACCATTTTCATAAGACAGCACTGGCTATATTTAATCACTAATTTCCTACCAATTGCATATCATTTTAATTATATATATTAGAAATAGAATTCCAAGGAAGACAAACTGCTTGGCCCCCTCCTTTTCTCAGTATTAATATGCTAATATTTAAGCCATTCTCACAATAACTACAATGTTGAAGTTTAGAGCTTGACCAATATCCTGGAACAATAAGTAAGAGCTCTAGTATTATTCTATTCCTATGGGTTTTTATGATAAACCAACATATTATATAAACTCACCATTACCAGACATTTCTGATGGTACATACATTTCACTACCAACTTCAACTACATAATCTAGAATTGGTTGTAGGTGATAAGCACTTACTGTAGGTGTTGCTCACCCTTTGTACAAAAAAATGAAACACTAATCCTGTGTTCTATTTCCCATTGTTGCTATACTTGACCCCATTGTTGCAGCCACTGTATCATTTAATCTAGTTCAGAACCATCTTCCCCTTTTTCTGGCCCTTTATTTACCAAGAAGGATGGTAACCAATCTTGTAGGAAGGACAGAGGTACAGAAGAAGGCATTAAGAGAAAGAGCAAAGTCTATCTTGCAGAACAATTCTGTCCATCATAAGAAAGTGTCTACAGGCCCACAAGTCTACTTAGTACAGCTATTATTCAAATTCATACACTAACCACTAAAGCTAGTGCTGAAAAAATGGGCAATTCTACTAGCTACTTCAATCTCAAGTTGATCAAGCACACAATCTAGATGCATTGATGCTTACAACAATTGGAAAACAAAACTTGGAAATAAAGTGGAAGGATCAATTGTTGGAAAATATTGCCTCGGTGCTAAAAACATGGCTAGAGATTGAATAGAATTTTTCAAGACTTCTTCATTGAAAATTCTATTTTTTAGCAACAAAACTATGCACATGGACTTGCCAGGCAGAATACATAGGAATAAAATGGACTACCTCTACAGGAAAAGGGCAAGGAGGAGATCAATCTCATCAATGAAATAAGGATGTGGAAAAGCCTATCCATTGCTCATTTGCAAGTGCCGGTTGATTCTAAAGAAAATGAAAAAAGTCCACAAGTACCAAGCTATGACCCTAAGTCTATCCCATCTGAATTTAGGGACCATCTCAAGAACATGTTTATTACATTGAGCAGGCATGACAGAGATCTGATGAGATGGGAGAAAGTGGGGAGCTAACAACAATGAGTATAAGAAAATGTTCTGAAATTGATTGTGGTGATGATTGTCCAAATCCTCTCACATGACTAAATGATTAAGTCGTATGTTATGTGTAAATAAAACCATGCATTTTTAAAAAGAGCTTCATATATGAAGATAGCAAAAACATACTACGAAGACAAGAAAGAAATTAAAGATCAAAGTAGATGCAATAGACTTGCTCCTGAATATAGAGTAGTTAAAACGAATGAAGGAAATGATGAACTAAAAGAACTGAACAATGCAGAATTAAACAATGCAGGGAGCATCAAAAGATGATGGAAGGGATATATAGAGTCACTGTATCTAAAAGAATTGGATGAAACTACCATTTATCACTTTGGTATATTGTGGTGACTTGTGTTCTTACTGTGATGCTGGAAGCTATGCCACTGTATTTCAAACACCAGCAGGGTCACCGTTGGTAAATAGGATTCAGTGGTGCTCTGTGGTAGTCACCTAATCTGATGTCAATTAAGATGTAGGAGTGGAGTCTAGGATGTCAATCTGGAGATAGCCAATGAGATTCTGTGTGGGCATGGCCTTTTCCTGAGAATTCTGGGAAATCTGGTACTTCCTCCTTGGAAGCAGAAGACACTCTCTCTCTCTGGGAGACATTACAGAAGACAAGCCACCTGGAAGCAACCAGACCTCGGAATCCGGAGAAGCCACAGAGAGACCCTGCCAGCACTGAGATGCTTACAGCACCACTGGACCCAAGGACTTTCTACCCACTGGCTTGTGACCGTCCTGCATTTGGCGTCATTGTATGTGTTTCATGAGTCTGAAGAGGACTTTATAGCTTGATATCGGACAAACGGGCTAATATCAGACTTATGGCCTTGGACTGGACTGGGTTGGGATGTTTTCTCAATGTTCAATTCCTCTTCTATATAAACATCTTCCTTATACCCATATGTGTATCAATGACTTTGTTTCTCTAGTCCACCCGGACTAACACATGTTCCCAGACTAAGAACTGAATGGGAAGAACTAATTCTGTCAGTTTCTGATGGATTAGGTACTTAAAGCCTTTTATTAGCAGTGGAACATGATCAGATCTAATGCCAGAAGATGAGTCCCTCTGAGTGAAATGGTCTATATCAAGATACAACTCGGGAAGAGCTGCCTCTTCAATGTAGAGCCAACCTTAATGCCATGGATGGATAAAAGTTTCAGGACCTTCCTTTTTTATGGGGAATTCTTCAAAATGAAAACAAAGAGCTGAAAACATTCATAATAATAGGAAGATTGAATGTTCAAATGATGAATCTAGGAAAATTGAGTTATCAAGAATGAAATAGAAAGCATGCATATCAATATTCTAGGCATTAGTGAGCTGAAAATATGAGGCTCTCAAAAATACCATGGATTGGCTCAAGCACACTTTAGTCTTCAGAGCTATAGCTTTCTTTTTTTAATTATTTAAAGAGATTATTGCAGCAGATTTTTAATAAACTTCATAAAAGTTTTTCATAAACTTTATTTATATGGTATAATATAAGATTCCTAACAAAGTACTGAAAAAATGATGATAATAATTTATATTATTATTACATCAAATATATCATATATAATGAATTAATTGTTAATAATTAATAATAAGTACATTTTGAGAAACTATATTGTGTACATGTATCTTGGTAGGTATGTAGATAGATATAGAGGTAAGGGAAAATCATAAAGCATCAAAATATAAACCTCTCCTTTTATAATCCCTTAAAAAAAGAATTTGTAGTAAAATTTCAACTTTAAGTCTAATTTTCATTACTTGCCATTATAATCTAGAAAATGTTAGGTAATTGAAAATATTTTTAGTAGCCAGAGCCCATATCAACATGTCTGGATAATTCTTTGTCTCTTTAACAGTGGGAGGAAGAGCTAAAGAACAGAGAGATGGAAGATGCCAAGGCCTTGGCTGAAGAACTCAAAGAGAAAAAGTTAAGGGAGAAAAATCACTTCCAAGAAATTATGAAGAGAAGAGAAGAGAAATTACATAAGAAAAGCAAACCCTATGAGCTTTCTCCAAGAGCTGCAGTAGTTTCATTAGAAAACAAAATGGCACACACAAAAGTTGAGGCACACATTGCAAAAAAAATGCTGAAGTAATTTTACATCAGTAAACCTTTATTGTGATTAATTTGAAGACGCTTTTTAGAAAGGAGTTATTATTCTAATAATCAAATCTGAATTGTTAGCTCATAATAACACACAGTTCATTGGTTTCACCAGCTAAAAAAATTTCAGGAATATGGTGAGTGTTTTTGCTAACTGACTTTTACTTTATGATCATAGAACATACTTTATCAGCAATTCTGAGTGTTGATATTAACAAGACACTTAGATGAAAATCAATTGCAAACTATTAAGTCATATATTGGAATTATGTCTTGAAAATAAAGAGTGAGCTTCAGCTGGTATTCCTATAACTCTAAGTCAAATAAAGAGTGCTAGAACCTGCTTTGATTTGTGATTTGCAATAAATCTGTGCCTATCCAAAAAACTGTATCAGAAGTAGGAATTTGATCAATTACTGTACATAAAAAAAAAATCTGGAGGATACAGTGATCTTAAGTGAACTTTTCCTCCAATTGATGTCAAAAGAGTTTTTTGAGAGAGACAGTGGTTTTCTTTTAGTAGATGAATTTAAGAGAATGGACTTTTATGATACTAGATGGTTTAGTATGTGTTATTGAAAAAAATACATTCAATTTTTGAATAATTTTTAAAAAGTACTCTTTACCTTGCTTCACCGGAAGCTGTCAATTTATGAGTAATAGATATTCTTTGCCTTAAACAATAAAAATAATAACCACTCTTCAAATTTGCATAGTTGACTTTGCAATATTCACAAGGCAGATCATTTATCATGGTTGTCATTCAAATGACTACACAGGACAAGAATGTCACCTCAGGTAGTACAGGGGATTAGGAAATACCAGTACCACCCAGAGAATATCCCCATCATGCAGCTACATTCTGAACTATATGCCCAGTTGGTAGTGTTGTGGGATCATACAGTCTTTCAAAAATGAAGATTTCAGGTATTATTACCTTAAAAATAAAATTTGTTAATTTTTAAATGATTGACTAATAATAATGACAATAAGAAAAACACATATTTTCAGGTTAAATATAATTTAAGGGCCAGAGTTTATGTCTTGCATTATGTGAGTTTATGGTATCATCATTTGCTGGTCATTGCTGTTGTTGTTATAGGTGCCATCTAGTTGTTCCTGTCCCCTAGTGACCTTATGCTCCCCAAACCAAAATAATGCATGGTCCTGCACAGCCCGCCAATTGTTCCTATGATTGAGCCCATTGTTGCAGCCACTGTGTCAATCCATCTCCTTGAGGGCCTTCCACTTTCTCCATGTCCATCCACACTACCAAATACGATGTCCTTCTCTAGAGACTTGCCTCTCCTGATAATATGTCCAAGTACATAGGATGAAGTCTTGCCATCCTTGCTTCTAAGGAGCACTCTAGCCATACTTCTTCCTAGACAGATTTTTCCTTCGGTCTTCCTTATTTAGTACCCAACTTTCACATGCATATGAGGCAATGCAAAATACCATGTGTTGGGTCAGGTTACTGTGATGCTGGAAGTCCTGTCCCTGGTGTTTCTAAAGCTAGCAGGGCCCCCAAAGTGAACAGGTGTCAGCATAGTTTCCAGACTAAGACCAGAGAATGAAGGACTTGACTTCCCACTTCAGAGGAAGTAGTATCACTTAGAAGCATTTCCAGATTATTCATTTAGGATTACAATAACATATGGCAGAAAACTCTTGGGATGAGGGTAACATTTGTGATTTGATTCTATATATTGTATGTATGTAGAACACATATACTCATATATACAGTCATATACATGTATATATGTATGTATATATGTGTATATACTTATACTCTCAAAATTCTTACATTGCTTTCCCCAAACATTGCAAATTTTGAGAGATATTATCTCCCATTGTGCTTTTTTAGGTATCCTCACCTATCTTTTCTTTCTTCATTTTGACAGTTTATGTGCTATAGATGACCATCTATTCCCTTTGCTTTGAATCCCATCCCTGTCACACCTTGTTCATCACCTGTACTCTGGTACTCCCCCCCACCCTCCATCACTCAATTCTGAACCCACTGAAGTCTCAGGGTTCTATTATCTTTCCATCAAAATGATTCTGTCATTTAGGCCAACAGAGACAGAACTTGAGTGCACGTCTAAATTAGAATTTTTCTGTTAGTTTGGAGAGAGATGTGACTTATAACATGAGGGAAAGACCCAACTACTGGGCATCTAACTACTCTTTTATAAATCATGCAGACACGACTCTTTTTAGTACCACCGTTTGGAAAACAGACGCCTCCACCTTCTGAGCCTTTCCTATCTTCTAAGGCATAGAGTCGTCTACTTTATGGGTTCCCATGGTGGACTTAGATCTGTTGGTTTCCTCTTGTCCTCTTATTGTTTCCGTATGGTCACCTACTTTCAAGCTTCTACAATTTTCTTAGTACCGCTATTTTCTTATTGCTACTTTCTTTTCTCCTTATATGCTCCTGCCTTGTTTGAAATCCTTTTACTGTGTCATAGTGGGGACTTGGAAGGGAGGAAATAGATATGTATATATGTGTACAGACATCTAAACAAAATTGATAAGTCAAAATTCTCATGGCTTTTTAATGAAATATTATTAGTAATTCATAATTATTAAACTACTCTTTATAAATATTAACATTTGACACCACACATCTATCTCTTGAACTATTTTGGAAATATTAGCAGAGATTGGGACTTGAAATTCTGTTTATTCATTTATAAATACTTAAAGTATATACTTGAGTATAAGATGACCTGAATATCAGCCGAGGCACTAATTTTACCACAAAAATTGCATTAAAAATGTGCTGGAAAACTTAGCTTATACACAAGTATTTATGGTACATTTTATAAGCAAAGCAGCATTGAGGCTATTAGGAAGACATAATAATAATAAAAAAATCCAAACTCATTGCCATTGAGTGGAGGCTGACACACAGTGACCCTATAGGACAAGGAAGAACTGCCCTATCGGGTTTCTAAGATAGAACTCTTTACAGGAGTAGAAAGCTTCATCTTTCTCCTGAGCGGCTGCTTGTGGTTTCAAAAAGCTGACCTTGTATGATCAGCTCAACCTGTAACCACTATGGCACCACGGCTCCCTAGGAAGACACAACGGCGTTAGTCATTTTTAACTAAGAATGTAAAGATTGCTTTAAAAGATGATAGAGAACTGAGAAAATGAACTAACACAGAAAGTGGAACTTTAAGAAACTAGTACTGCCTCTAGAGCCAGGGGCAAAGAAGAGATTTGCGCTATTACAACTTAGAAGCTTGGGCAAGGAGGGACTAACCCACTGGCACTGTTTCTTCAGAAGGGACACAGCAGGGATGAGATGGGGCAGAGGGCTAAAAAGGAAACTGGAGCAAAGTGTTCTGAACCTACACTGCCAGGAAGAAGAGCAAGGAAACAGGAAGGATCAAGTTTCTTCTTCCTGTACCTCCTCTACCTGCGAACTCTCTCTGTGTCCCTGTTCCCTGGAATCACAAAGCAAAGAAGGCTCTTTTCAGTCCTAGTTAAATAAGCAAAAACGTATAACTCAACTTCTAAAACCTAATTAAAGAAAATTTCACCGTCTTCTGTACCTTAGGCTCTCCTTTCTACTTTTTTGGCAAGCTTTCCCTGGGGAAATTTTTTCTAAATGTTTGTAAGACAGTATCACTTTTTAATGTAATATAAATGGCTTACAAAGACAGACACCTTTATTATAAGTTATCTGATAAATAATCCTTAATTTTTTCAATTAACACTTAATACCATTTAAACTATAATTCTTTGTAATTTAGAGTTAATATGCCTCAAATTTTACAAGTAGTTCTATGAGTTTCTGGCTGGATTTTCCAGCAAGTTGATACTTTCAGCTATTAATTTTTTTAATTTAGGTTTTCTCAACCTTAGTTCCTCGTTTTCACTTTTAAGTTGGTAGAAAGAAGCATGAGAAAGAGACTCCGTGTTTACCTCGACAGCTTTGCCTTTTTACTTGACTTTACTGCAGCCAAGTGTTGACAGAGCTCAGGGCTAAGTCCCTTTATTTAAGAACCCATTTCTATGCTCTTCACCCTCTATGTTTGCTTTTATTTAAAAATAATAGATACAAATATTCTTAAATTAATTTATTATAGGTTCTCTACTGTTTTATTTTAGTATCCACCATGGCAATTCTTCTATTCAAACTCCATTATCCATCTTTTAACCTTAATATTTATGGGAATTTTAACTGTTTTTTACTAAAGGATTGGAGAGTAATAAAACAAACTGGGGGAAAAGAACAAAAGGAGAGAAAAATAGTATATAGTCTACATAGCATTAACCTAAAGATAAGCACTTCTCCCACTAAAATAAAGACAAATAAAAAGCTTCATATAAGTTCACGAAGCATACCAAAGAGAAGTTTAAGGAAGAAAATATCCCCTACAAATATTTTTGTTCTGTAGCTCATGGATGTTTGAAAAAGTGGGACAAGCAGAGGTGATAGATAAAAATAACTCATATTAAGGTAGAGGTGATAGATAAAAATAACTCATAGAAACAATGATATTTAAATATTATAATTCAAATAAATTATTATTTCCCTCCTACCAGTAACATCTCCTTCTTGGGACAAAAATACTGTTAAGTGTTACTAATTTTTTTACTTTTCATTCTCATTTTTGTTTTTGAAGTTATCAACAAATCTAAAGAAAGTTACAGCTTATGAGCAATACATTCTGACATTGTCTAAAACCCAGAAAATAGTTTAAATACAGTTGATTTTTCTCACATACCTCTATAATCATACCACTAGGTCTGCTAGGTTTAGCAGCAATGGCACCATTGATATTTGAGGCTGGATAATTCTTTGATGTGGTAGACATTCCTGGGCACTTTAAGCTATAGCAACAACCACTTCTCCATACTTTCATCCCCCCCCCGCCCCAATTAGGCAGTCTGGCCATCAAACCTTTCTTTGGAAATTGCTAAATGTACTCTAGGGGGAAATCTTTCCTAATGGTAAACTACTATTGAATAATTTTATTGTTTGATTTTCAAACTTCAAACTTAGCTCCTTAGGGGTTGCCTTCTGAGTTTGTCCAGCTCACTTACTAAGCTCATCTTTTGCATACTAGCAATATCAATTATCCTTGAATTAATGTTGACTTATGGTGTCTAAGAGTAGAACTTTACTTTATAAGGTTTTAAAAAA